ATTTTCTCGATTAATAGTCGCCCATTTCTCAATACTTTAGTGTTCTGCTTGATGATTTTGACCATTGACAAATATTGTCGATTTTCAACGTCTAAATGTCTTGGCCTAACAACACCGTCTCCACTAGGGTGCTTTTCATACAAAATAGTGTTTGTCTACCAAATCATCTGAATACTTTACCTTTCATTTACGCTACCTCCGGAATAACAGTATTCTGCTAGGCTAAATCAATCAAGCGTTTAGATGAGTGATGACGTTTACCATCGTATTTATTGGTTCACTACAAATGTCTTCTAGTTGGTTGTTAAGTTTATCGTGACATCAATCTATCAAACCAATACGATCTGCATTACTTAGGTCAAGTATTGAGTACTAAACTAATGAAAAAGTCTACTTACATATGAGTTTACGATAAATCTACTTACAAATAATTCGTCCAAGGTGTCATACACTTCTGATTCCACAAAGTTAACTCAAAACTTGATGTATCTACATTTTAGCACTCTAAATAGGATACCATACCCTAAATTCTGATCAATATTTTATTCATTTTATTCGCTTGTGTTGACATATAATCCCAATCAACTCTCTCCCATTGTAACAATGTATTCGGTTAGTACAAACGGACACTTTTGTTAACAAGGCGGGGTTAGACTTACAACCGTGATATCGAAACACCATGTTAAAGGATGATACTGTAGTCTAAATAATCATTAGTAATCAATGATGTAAATGGTACATACAAATAAATTTTAACTTTATAATATTTATAATTTATAGTTTTGGGTGCCCATGCCTCTTTTTGTTTGTTTCAATTATTTTCAATGCTTATGTTACAGCCATATGGAAAACTTGATGATAATATGTCTTTTGCTAGAGTTTTGAGAAGGTATGCTTTACTGTTTTTACTCCCAGGCGCATGAATTTAACATAATTTTAAGTAATGACATGATTTATTTATTTATTTATTTATTTATTTATTTATTTATTTATTTATTTATTTATTTATTTATTTAAGCAGCATAAGGTTACATGCACTGTTATACTATTCTTGCTAGGGATATATTGACACACGTATATTATGAATATAATATGTGCATCACATTGTTATTTATGTATGCTAACAACACGAGTTTTTTTCTTTTTTTTTGTTAAAGCGTTGACAAACGGCAAGGAGGCCCAGATTGTTGTGATCCAGCATACTATTATTTGTGTCCGACTGTGCCAACAAACTGTTAATTAGAGACAATAGAGGGTATACATATGCAATTGTAACCTATGTAGTTTAAAAATAAAATATTGTATATTAGAACTGCAGGTCTAATAAATAATAATTCAAATTGTTCCTTGTTTGTGTGTTTGTGGCTTCTTGGCCTGATCAGTTGAATAATGTAAACATACAAAAAAATTCATATCCGCAGGCTAACTTTTATCCGAAAATATATTTTCGTACTCAGAATTGAATATGAATATAACTTAACATTATATAAATGTAAGGCACTGGTTCAGCCAGTTCCGCCAATGTGTCACTAATCACGTGCACACTTTGAAATTCAAATTTATTGATATTCCCGTTTCTGAACTACATGTAAATCTATTTTCTGATGTATTACTCTTGGGCGTTGTTCTCTAGATTGGACAATACGTGTTGATTTTGATGCAAAATGTTTTTGAACCTGAAATATGTTATATTCTAAGACAACCTTTACAGATTAACAATTTACATGTTTACTGGGTGGTCCGATAAACATTCTGGCTAGGCCTTGCCATGGAAGACAAGCAGTACATCAAAATATGCACTGACATGCCGGGTATATTCAAACATTAAAATTGAACACTGTCATCAATATCACAACGAGGATTTAGAATGTACTAGTTTGATAAACACTTTGAAACAAAATCATATTAACAAATGTTGCTGTATCATGCGTCATAACTGAGCACGAATAAATATTTTCAGGCCAATATAAAAATGTTGCTGTATCAGGTATCACATATGTGCACGATTAAATATTTTTCACCATGTCCAATGATAATCAAGTCCTGATTCAAATATGCCTAATAAATCACAACACCCCGAATGACGATGACTAAATTTCAGCCAGATCTTTCTCAGTAGTACTTTCTATATAGAATAGGAAAGGCGGGATGAAATACAAACGTAGATAAAGTGTAACCTACATTCAATGTAACCTGACCACAAATTTTGCATGACTTGTTGCAGTCACATAAAAGGAAAGTAAGGGTATAATAAGGCAATATTGCGGCCGAATTTAGTATGCTAATTACCCCAAGTCAGTTACATCATGTCCTCTTGGCAAATTGTAACTCTCAATACACGTGTCACTTGTTATTTATTAACATTTAATGACTGTACTTAGTTTTTTAACCAAATCTCGACTTATGGGAAATTGTGGTTTAAAATGGCTGCTAAAGTTTTCAAAAGTCCTGTCAGTCATAGTTTGAGCAAACTACATTTTCACAAACAGTATAATATAGTTATTTCATTTCCAAACGTATAAATGTTTTCTAGATTAATAGTGTGTCGAGTCGAACAGTTTGCGTGTAAAATAAAAGCATAATAAGCTTGCATATTTTTGGTTGACTATGATCATGGTAGATATTGTCTGGAGTAGTAATCTAAAGGGTCGTTCAAAATACAAATGATTTAGTGACAAATGCTTACTAATATTTCTGCAATTTCAACCCTGAGTTTAATAGTGTGGTAAATATAGACGTCACTCTTTGTATAACGTCTGTTCTTTTTGTGACCTTAGTAAATTTAGATACTCATGGTCGATTATAAAAGTAAATTTACATCCGACGACATTCGTAATAAACTGATAAGTCAGTCGAACAAGAAGTGGTAATCATTGCCAATTTCGTGCAAATCACAGACTTTACACAATCAATGATTGTTTTCGTGTGCACTGCTGTCATATTTTATACACACATAGTGTCCTGAACGGCGAAGGCGTGCTAGATATTTTACATGAAATTCAGATCAGACTTGAAATACATCAACCAACACTTAAATCGCCGCCCGCCTTGCCATTCATCATATGTAAATTTGATGAACCGTTTAGAGATAGCGGTGTACAACCAAAAGTATTGAGTACCGAATCGTTTGCTGCATGGTAAATTAATCTCTAATGTATGGAGATTCGTTAGCAACATCCATGATGTAATCAGGCTCGTTCCCAGTTAATGTTAACAAACAGTTTGCAAGTAGCCTAAATCCACTTGTGTCCATTGTAGGCTGCTGGATGAAGCATACCTTTCTTGAAAAAAAGCTAGATGTTAGCTCATTTGTGATATATTGGACATAAGTGACAAGAGAATTTCTAATGAGAGTGATGACTCCACCAGAAAAAAAAATCACAAATGCCGAATTACGTGGTATGATACAAGTATCAGAGAACTGGTCTTTAGTTTCCGCTTTAGTTTCTGTTAATTATTTTGTACCTAATTGACAGTTACATTATCCGCCTATGTATTACAGTGTGAGGTAAATGCCCCTAATTTAGTGGGTACATACATTTATAAAACAATTACTGAAAAATCGTGTAAGTTCGTGAAGTTGTTTAAAAAAGATAATGATGTGTGTGCCAGGTTTACTATTTTTAGTACACTAGCTAGGCATGATTGATTAGTCATATGACTTTGTTAATATACATGTGAGTGGTTACAAACAAATATAAAGATACAGGTATATTTCCATATAGATTAAATCAGCAATCATGGGAGTGCGTCTTAACACTCACACAGCGTTATTTGATAACACAGTCTCAATTATCGCTATACTGAACAAAACACACCAGCTCAAATCAACATCTAACCATCTTTCTTTTAATATGCCTTATACTTGAAATATATTATCAGTTTATAGACTGCAAGATGATTACTTCTAGTTGTAGCTATTTTTATTTCGCTTTTGCTGATATGTGCTCATATAGTGATATAGACATCTGTCACCGTAACACCATAAGTTACAGCGTACCGCAATTTTGCGGTATTTTTACGAGGTATTTGTATCCTACAATATTAGAAAATGCGAATTCCAAATATGGAATGATTACGCGCTAATAATAAAAAACAAACATGGCTGCCAAGAGTTTGACCGGACTCCACACAAAGAGGTTCACTGATTCTGTTTTGGATTTTGGATTTCGCCATTAGCATGGCGTATTCATTGGGAGGAAAAGGTGTATAATAAAAGGTTTTTACGAGGATACTTCATTACCTCGTAATAACCTCATATTATAATTGGCCCATACAGTTTGTAAGTATTGTAGAGAAGAAATATATTGTATGATTTTCTACCTCAGATCTGGTATGCGTTTGTGAATGTAATTTGGAACATTGAATCATGGTGGCATTATCCACTTAGTCAGTTTAACTGAAATCAAAGTGTAAATTTAAATATTCGAACTCTCAAAAGTTAACTGACTTATTTTTGATGTTTATGTACTGTTCTTAGTTGCAAGCTCTATGTGGTAAAGAGTGTTACTAACATTTGGAAATTGAAAGTCGTGAGTCATTATATCATTTCAGCATTTAATTGTATATATAAAAATTAAGGTTTTTTAGCATATATGTATATACTTTTGTTAAAACTTCATTCAGGCGTAGTTTCTAGATAGAATTAATACATTACATCACTCGTAAAAACCAGGGATACAACATTTATTGTTATAACAATCATGTTCGTCACAAATTATCAAAATATACTGCATTTATCTCATTCAAGAATTTTCATGGATGCTGTCATCGTTTTCTGAAATACAAATATAAGTGTAATGAAAATAAAACAAATGTGACGTAAATCCTATCAAAATATATCATGTAGTGTAACTATCCTAATACATATTAGCTTAGCCAATAGATGCACGCGACTCATCAAATTTTTGACCAATCACTCATTCTAATTATTGTTGAATGAGGGCGCCATTTACTAATGAAAATAATTAAACAGATATATAAACATTGGAATTCATACATGCTCGATGATAATGGCCAATGTAAAAGGTGTTTTACTAAATTGAGGCATTCCCACAAAATTGAGACTTACATATGAAAATTAAATGAATTTGAAAACAAGCATAAGGACATTAATCCCTCTTTAAAGACTTGATATGTAAATGCATAACCCGATAACCCATTCATAGTTTCATGTTTCACTGTTTTCATGAGTCGCCAATTATTATTATTCGAACATAAAGATATCAAATTTATAATCAAACCGCGTAATGCAATTTAGTGGTTTTTCAATACATTCTGTATTGTTATTCTTATTTGGAAAAATAATTATTTTTATTATTATTATTATAATTATTATTATTAGCTACTGCCAGGACAATGTACACATTCACTGAACCATTTGGGCAATCACACAAATAGACAATTTGTTGTGCTACATGCTTTTATTGCATGCAGTATTTGTGAGAAATTCCTTATGCAACATCGTGTGGTATAGTTTTATAATATGCAATAATATTCACTTATTACCCGTAATTAATTAAAGAGTATACTATTCGGTCAAACCTGGTTTCATATAAGAATTATCCCAACATGCTTGCCAGAGTACCCTAGATGGGATTTGAACCCTGCATCTCATGTTCAATAAACAGCAGACTGTTCCACAAGACTATAAAAGACCTAAAAGCAACACTGCATGAAATCGCGTGTTTCCAGTCTGGTTACACAATGGTTACACATAGCGGTTATGAAGAATAAAAGTGCGTAACCGTTGCACAACTGTCAGATTATTTTATGGGGGTCACTGTAACGTGACCCTCAGCGGAATCACTGTGTTTGTCTTCCATTCAGTGCAACTAAGTCAACGGACATTTTCTGAAAAAAAACGCCGTTTTCCGTTCAACGTTTTTAACGTATACTTTTGAGTAACCGCTGATTAAGTTGGACGGAAGAAACGTAAATGCAGAAATACAGGCCAATTTACGTTGAAACTGAAACGACATATACAGCTGGGTAACCAGGATCATTACGTTAATGGTATACGGCC